TGTGTGTGTGAAATAGGCAAGGACCATAATTTTAAATTTGAGAGCTCATTTTTACTCTTATAGCTTAGAGGATATTTACTAAAGCTTTTGAGCATATTTTCAGCCTTTCTATTCTTTCTCATTATTTACTCCCTCCTAGATCGTTTAAGTTCACTTCCATTAAGAACTCTGTCCACCATGCTGTCTGGTGGTCTGTGGCTGTCGAGCTACATTTTGAAGTGAGTTAGTCACGTGCTCATTCTGTGACTCTCCAGGGCCTGCAGACTGCCTCCCACTTGAGGCAGTCAGGAGGCTATGTTGCCCTTTTACCGGGAGACAGACCTCCACTCCTCTGTAACATCAGCAACCTGAAAGTCCTCTCTCTGGCACACTCTCTATAGCCATCATCACAGATTCCTGTCTGGGGAAGGAAGGGAAGAGGAAAGATGGACAAACCACATCACTTGAACCCCATCATTTTTTCTGGGAAAAAATGGGGGGGGCAGACATGAGGTATCAATGAGCACTAGAGGTCAGAGGGCAGACATCAGTGCTACTCACTGCTGGTGGCACATGGAACACGTTCTCATCCCTAGTGCTAGTCACTAAAACTAACCTGGTTTTCTTCTGGCCCCCCATTTTAGTTAGGGTTACTGTTGTGCTAAAACACTAAGACCAAAAGCAACTCGGAGAGGAAAAGGTTTATCTGACTGACGTATCCTCAACTCATTGAGGGATGCCAAGGCAGGAACTCAAACCGAGCGGGAACCTGGAGGCAGGAGCTGATGCCACGGAGGAGTGCTCCTTACAGGCTTGCTCCTCATGACTTGCTCCGTCTGTTTTCTTCAAGAACCCAGGACCACCAGTCCAATACCACCTGATATGGGATGGGCCTTACTCCATCAACACTAATTAAGAAAATGTTCTACAGGCTTGTGTACAGTTCAGCCTTAAGGAAGCCACTTCTCAACGGAGGTTCCCACTTCTCAGATGGCTCTAGCTGTGGCAGCTCATCTAGAACTAGCCAGCACACATCTGGACATTCCATTTACTTTTTCCTCAGTCAGTTTTACAAACTCCTTATAATATGGCTGCCCATTCTGTGTTTTTCTCAAGCACACTCCATTTCTACTAGTTACACGTGTATTCGCAGGCACTATCACAGTGTGCTTGCTTGCTCTATGAGGGCAAGGTGACCTGGCTCAGAGCTGTCTCTCTAGAGCTAGTTCAGGGTTTGCATTTGGTAGAGAGAGAAAAAAACTTCAGCTGAGTGAAAGAATGACGGCAGCCACAAAGGGAAGAGCACATTACAATTTAAGTAGAAGTCTTGTTTGCACGAAATCAGGAGAATGCCATGCACTCTGAATGCACTCAGTGTTTGCTGACTGCTCCCCAAATATTTTCAAGAACGACCTCTCTTATAGCCACTTGGCGGTTCTGTAATCATAGGCATCTCTAAGAGGTCAGCAGGCAAAATAAATCACACACAGACCAAATGAGTTCTCCAGAAAAAGACTAAGAGTCTATCTGAAATGACCCATCACTGCTTTCTGGACAAAGCAAATCTCTTATTTATAATGACACATTAAAATAAAACATAGCAGCCTTCTTTTTGCAAATGAAGTATTTTTTGAGAAATGACTTTATCCACTATACTATTAAAGCTTCCATAATTTTCAGTTTATCTGTGGTGATGGGGCCCTGGATTATTTTTGTGGTTTAGAACACTGAACTGATAAAATGCAAATAAGATACCAACTGTTGTCTGTAGCAGTCACTTTTGCTGTCGCTGGCAACAAAATTGTGCTTAATAACTCAAGGGACTCTGTAAAGACGAAAGTAACCACTCACTACGTATTAACACTAATAGGTCAGATTTATGAAACACTTATTACTCGCAGTGACTAAGCATCTTAAAAGTTTATTAATTTGATTCTCATAAAAATCCAATGAGTCTAATACATTATCCTCACTTTGCAAGTAAGAAACTGAGGCAAAAGATGATTAAGTGATCTATCTACAAATATATTCTGCTTATCTCAATGAAATTTTTATCTTTAGCAGTTTCCTATGTCACTAAAACATTTTCATAAACATTATTAGTGGCTTCATAATACTCCACTGTATACATTTATCACAATTTACTCAACCATTTCCCCACCACTGGGGAAATTCTGGTTGCTTGCAAATTCATATTATTACAAACAGTCCTGCTGTAGACATCTCTGAGGATGAGTTTTTACTCACTTTCCAAAAAACTGTTTTCCTAAGACAGACTCCTAAAAGAGCCAGTGGGTCAATAAATACTTATTAGATGACTAAAAGACAAAACAATATAATTTTGTCTTATGAGGTCTTCTTCTTACTTTTATGCTTATAGAATATCTTCCTATCCCAATAACAAGTGAGTATTTGCCTATATTTTGTTTGTGATTTAATTTTACATTTAATCTATAAATATTTATATATTATATAATCATATCATATATACATATATATTCACAAGCTAAGCATAGTATATAATGCTATATAAGATATATGTTGCATATATTTATATCACATAAATACATATATACAAATTTTGTTTTATGCACAGGAGCTACATATATTTTCTCTAAATAGCTAACCAATTTTTCCAAAACCATCAATAATAAAATCATTCTTTTCCCAATGACTTTTGTTCTTTCTTGTCTGTATGTATGTATGTGTCTGTGTGTATGTGGCATACATACACCCTCATGTACACATTCTTCTCTTTAACATCCATTTCTGAAATGCTTTTCCCTGCTGATTGATTTATTCTTTATGGGGGAAGAGCAACAAAATGCATACTATATTTTAATATGTTGATGAATCATTCATGTAGATGTCAAGTAAAAACATCAGAATATAACGCTGTGTCCATGGGGCTCAAAGAAGTGTTCTAGGACATTTTAAATTGAATGACAGGCAAAGAAGAGAGGAAGGATATGTTCTACGTGGTATCTTAGGCCACATTCCTTGGCTTACAGACTAAAATGGGTCCTTTAAAAAGGACATTTCAGAAGAGGAGGCAGATCAGCTCTGCCGAAAAGAGCAGCCCTGGAGACCACTGGGCCATAAGTGCTGCAGATCAGCCCTGCCGAAAAGAGCAGCCGTGGAGACTACTGGGCCACAAGTGACTGCAGATCAGCCCTGCCGAGAAGAGCAGCCGTGGAGACTACTGGGCCACAAGTGACTGCAGATCAGCCCTGCCGAAAAGAGCAGCCGTGGAGACCACTGGGCCACAAGTAGTTGCTGGCTCTGATGAAGAGAAACAAACCCTGGCTTATGCAAACTGTAACTGTCGCCTTTTTCTCAAGCTCAGTTCACATGTTCTCAATGTACTCACTGTTTTATTGACCCGTTCATCACAGAGCCAAGAACTTTCTAGCGTATATAACAAGTCTTTCCAAATATGCTCACCTGCTATTTTGATCTGTCTCTAATATTTGACTATATTCTGGTACAGCTGATGTCTGTTGTCTGTTAACAGAAAATTTGCCTAACTACAAACATATGTCTCTAAATAGAAATCACATTCCCAACTGAGCAAAAAGAAGTTTACATCTAGATTCTTGACGGTCAACTACCACATAAGGAACAAAGGGAAAAGGCAAGCATGCTTCGAAGGTGTCTGTCTCTTCTCAAGCAAGTAAGAACTCTCCTCTGAGCCACAGGCACTGTAAGAGAACCTGAGAGGAGGAGAGTACAGGCACACAACACAAGTCTGTGTCTGGTTTCCTTCAGAGGGACCCAACAGCAAGTGAGGAGTGTGGCTAGGGGCATGGTTTGGATGGATGGGACTCCTCACAACGAAAAGCACAAATAAGAAAAAAGTTCTAGGACTGAGATCCCGCCTTCATCCAATCAAAGCTCTGAGTAAAGCAGACAGACACGTGCACGACACTGCCAACACCTGCGTAGTTCAATCTGCCCCACTTGGACTTAGACGCCTGAGAGTACAGAACACACCCGTCACCACCTTGTCTACACATCCCTTCTCACTTGAAAAGTTTCCTTCTCACAGAAAAGTTCCTGAACAGAATGTGCGCCACATATCAGTTTAAATATTTACACCGTTCCTTCCATCTTATTCTTCAAAATGCAACTCGTTACACAAAAATACCACACTAAAAGTCTTTCTGAGAAGTCACTCCTTGGGATCAAGTGAAAATGAGCAGCCAAACCAATAATCAATTCTCTTTACATTGTGGTCATCTCTTTTCTCCATTACTGACTGCTTCTTAGCTCTTAATAACCATTATTGCTATTGATCTTCCACTGTGAAAACACCTAATACATGTTGGCTTTTTTTTTTGAGTCCTCTCCACTCCTCCATAAATAGATCTACTATTTGACTTCTCAAATACCTTAAACACACTAACCTTCCTTAACAAAATCTACCATTATAATTTCTCACAACAGTCTTTCCTCTTGCTCACTTACTGTCCCTCCTGTAGGTCCCCAAACCATCCTCTTGCCTTTGCAAGAGTCATCATATTATACTCTACTTGTTTGTAAGACATATCAGTCCTACTCATCTTTAAACTCCTCCTAAAGCAAGGATCTTTGCTCATGTTTATCAGACAGTTCTGATAAGTATCTGGTGTTTGATGGGCACTTACAAATGTTTGTAAAATGAGTGAGTTGATGCTATGAATACATTCAGATTTAGAAACAGAATTACAGAGACAGGTCTTTTTAAACAATTAATGCATCATGTTTAATCCAAAATTCCCTAAGCAAGTATTTCCTTAGAGTGAGTCAAAATATTAAGATAAGGATTTTTTTTTCTCTGTAGCTTTGAAGCCTGTCCTGGAAGCAGCTCTTGTAAACCAGGCTGGCCTCAAACTCACAAAGATCCGCCTGCCTCTGCCTTCCGAGTGCTGGGATTAAAGGCGTACGCCACCACCGCCCAGCTATGATAAGGGCATTTTTTATTAATATTCACTATGACATAAACATTTTCTAATAAAAACAGACAATATAAAGTACCTTACCGGCAAAGTTCCAGGCAGAGATGCATCAAAAAAAGAAACCAAAGAATTCGGGGGTGCTGCAAAGCACACCTGCGCTCCAGAGAAGAGCTTAGAGTTGGAGCAAATCTGGGCATGAATTTCCAGTCCTACCACAGCTGCCCATTTGTGTTCACTGAAGAGAAAGAAAATGGTTAAAGGTTACATTTGTCACCATACATAAACTTTTATAAACCTATATTTCAAATAATAATAATGTCCTAGTTGTGCTTTTAAACTAAAATTTTATGTGCTGACATTTTAAAATGTGTCATTTTATTGGTAAATACTTTATTAGTTAATAAACAGTCAGTAAATGATAAAGGTTTATCTTGCCCATCATATTTAGGTTTAACACAAATGCCAGGATTCTACTACTAGAGAAAAAAATGGATAAAGAATAAATTATCAAGCACATTTTGAATATACTATAAATAGTTTTTTAGCTACAGGAGCAGGGTCACACAGATACCATAGACCACCATGACATAGTATTCCTGAAAACTTGTAAAACAAACAAACAAACAGTAAACCATGAGAGGAAACCTTTTTTCACCCTCCAAGTCGCATTCGGTTTTTGAGATCTAATTTTAAATTCATCTGTACACAACTGATTGCTAGCAAATCTTGGTAAATACTATAAAATGTTTCTTATCTGATCATTTCGACTCTGGTGAGCCAGTACTCAGTTCTTTTGGGGGAATTAAAATTCTCTACTCCACATGAAATCTATGTATGTCCCTTACTCTGCACTTCTCCTAAGCAATTTTCTATACTAAATAGAGTCTTATTCACATGCATTCCGTTCTGTTTTAAGCAATACATGAAGTTCTACATCGAATCAGAAAAGACAAATTCCTCAAATTCTGGAAACAAATCCTACAAGTGAGAGAAAATAAACTAAGAATTTCAGAAATTCTTCATGCTCTAATTACTAATCAAAATATTTCTGCTGTTTCACTGCCTGGAAAGGAAATGGTCTAATTCATGAAAAAAAACAGAAATGAGATGCTTTTGAACATTTTTTCCTCTTTTCTTCACTGAAATACTAAAAGAATGCCAACGTCAGTGAAACAAAATATTAGAAATTTGCCTGATGCTTCTGTATTTTAAAGGCAGCTTTAAGTCATTGACCAAGGCATCCGACAGCTGTTCAGGATAAGAAAATCTTTCCATAATCAATGGGAAGACTTTGTCAGTCAACTACATTCTCCTGGTTTAGATAAACACGCTCCTCATAAAATCACAGCTAGCTAGTGTTTTCTAATAAAATTTCCAGTGACTTATTTAAGCTGTACTATCCGGGGCTTTGTACAAACGCTTTTTCTGTCTTTGGATGATTGCTAGCACGTAGTAACGCTAAATGATTGCTATATACAAGCCGAGTCTAGTGCCGCAGACCCCCACCCACCCCTTGTTAGTAAGTCGACTGGAGAAAACGCTCCGCACGTTGTTCAAACACGTCTACTTTCGGACAGAGGTTTAAGTGTGAGAGTGGAGGTGACAGGCCTGGTTTTGTATTTTCATTTAGGCTTCAGTTGCCCATGTTATACAGCTGAACACCCACCCGACCACTAAAATCCTCAGGCTGCGCTACCGAGTCATCATTTTCGTTCCACACTTCCATTAGACAAGCAAAGGTATGAAGATTATATACCCTTTCCTCGGCTTCTGAGCCGTGCGGAGGGAAAGCTGAGTCACTGAACTCTGTCCCCTAGCACGGTTGGACGTGGGCCCAGGCTGAGTCCCACTTCGGTGGCGGGAACCGCCGTCAATCCACGCTAAAGCCCAGCGTCTTCCAGGAATGCCCAGGCGCAGCACGGAGGTCGCCATTGCATCTCCGGATCCCGAGTCATGTGATCCTGCCGCGAGGCTCCCTGGAAAGCGTAGTTCTGGCAAAGCTCCACTACGCTGTAGGCTTGGACCGGAAGACTACTATTCCCGGCGACCCAACTCAAAAGGCTGCCGGAAGTCTGTTGGGGAGGGGCGGGGACGAGAACCAGAGAAGTGGGAGGGTTTCTGGGTTCTGCGTGACTCCTCCTAGTGGGGAATTGGAGAGGTTTGCGGCTGTAGAACACGTGTTTTGAGTTTGTCCACACACGTGTGCGCGTTGTTCCTGCAGCTTGCTCAGGGAGAGCCCAAGGCCAGGAAGCCTCACCAAGGCTTCTGTAGCCCGCTTAAGCCTGTGAGTTGAAACAAATGACCCTGATAGCACCACGAAGACTTCCTGGATTCCTAAACACATTTATTTTCTCTGTCGGCCAGCACACACGCTTCATACACCAATTTGTCCATTATTTCAACCCATACCTATTTTGCATGCCTGCTACTGACCTAGTCCAATTCTTAAGCATCAGGGATGTAGTAGAAAACAAGACTTTATGGCTTTTTAGGGAGAGAAACATACAGAAAATAAGTTGTTTTTTTTTTTTTTAAAAAAAAAGATGTTTTCACATAGGCATAAAAACACTATATTTAAACAGAGGTACTTGGAGCCAAACCTAGATTAAACTTTTCTGTGCGTTTTGACTTACTATTGTTTTTTTTTTCCTCAGCCAGCATCTAAAACAATTATGTTTGGAAACTTTGATAGAAACAACATCACCTCAATGGATTTCTTTTGTTGTTTGACTTCAAAACTCATCCTTGGCTAGGAATATTGCTCAGTGGTACAGTGTTTGCCCATCATATAGAATGTGGTGGGTTCCACCCTCAGCAAGGCAAAACCAAATAAAATCCTTCATATCCCTTGTTGAAATTACGGGTGTTTTTTTTTGTTGTTGTTGTTTTATTTGAAAACTTGGTCTAGAACACTCCTCACTTTTATCATCCAATTTTAAGTTTCTACAGAGTACCGAATCGCTATCTACGGTTTATCTTCGATTCCAACAGATCCTTGTCTGTATTCATCACAGCATTTTCCTAGTCAGCGACTTAAAAATATTTGAAGTAGTGCAGTGTGGAGAATGTATCTGACAAAAGGCCGTGGGTGCTGTTTAAGAGGGTACATTCTTAGAAAACAGATGATGTATTGAGATAGGGATGAAGGGCAAAGCAAAAAATCTATTTCCAGCAGATGTGTAAGGGAAGATTGAGGGACAAGAAGTAGGGGGGAAGGAGGCATAACTTCCGGGTTTCTGACTTAAGTATCTGAGTGTCCATTGTAAAGTAAGGAAGCCAGAAAAGGAGTCCAATTTCTGTGCAAACGTAGGTCCTTGATTGCCTCAGAGATTTCCATGAGGAGTAATCCAGCAGAAGTCATTGGTGTCTGAGTATGGAGAAAGAAAAGATACATGCTCTACATATTTCACACTGATTAGTTTTCAGTTATTGATCACTAACCTACAAATTATACAGTTACAATTTATGATCTGTTTCCATTCATATTCACAAGACATTGAGGTATTATGTAACATAGTCCCTCCATGTGAAAAAATAGAGTTTAAACTGGGCAAAGAAATAATTCAGTAGTTAAGAGCAATTTCTGATCTTCCAGAGGACCTGAGTCTGTTTCCAACACGCATGTCCAGGGACTCACAACTGTATGGAACTACAACTCCAGAAGACCTGACATGCTCCTCTGGTTTCTGCAGATACATACACACAGTACTCCCCCAATTTGTGTCTCTCTCAAACATACATAGAAAAGCAAATTTTTAAAAAAGGAGATTGTCATTTACTTTTTCTATATTTTCAACTTTTCCCTCTACTTCCAATGAATAATCTGAATTGCTACAGCAGAAAGATTTTCACATAACTCAGGATGAAAATGGAATGAAAATGAAAGTGACTTGAACACAAAGGAACAGAATTGTTTCAAAGTTTATCTCTGATTAGTTCCTTTTATAGCACGTTCATATCACTCTTTAGGTCCTTGGTCTCTCTTCTGAGTTCCCATGTTTCCTACCTTTGCTGTATATGGCTTTGCTTTTCCTTCTCATTTCGCTCCTTGGGTGGTTTTTCTGGTCAGTAGGATTGTTGTGAATGCCATTTGCTGTCACCTTTAATAGGACTGCAGAGGGGAACCTTCCTACCTCACTCTTAGACAACGGAATTGGGAGACAGTCCCAGAGAGTATTAGGCCAGTTTCTGAAATCAATATTGAGAATGCGAGGACATCTAAAGAGCAGCCTACATTCTGTACAGCGTGCACTCCAGTGGAAACCCATCGTGATGTATAAATCAGTATTATGCAATGACATGCTGTAGCTTCAAAGGCCTCCACCCCGCCACTAGAGGGAGAGAAAATCCTATGCATGCAAGTGTGTTTGTTTCCTATGACAAATGGGGACCTTTCAGTTCAGTGCATTTTATATCTAGTCATGGCCTTTCAAAGGCCCCCAAGAGCTAATGGTGGAAACAGGGATGTCTCACCCACTTTCCTGGCTTAATTCTCTCTCCCAAAAATTCTCATTTCCAGAAATGTCTGTTGGTCTCTTGGTGGCGTCTAGGAGGGGTATTGTTTTCCAAACATCCCTTGCTCCTCAGGAGGGACAGTTCTACCGAACCTTCTTTTCTGAGACCATTTCTTGCCTTCTTTCTGAATGCCAAGTATGTATCTGTCAGAATGCTCATTGACAGACAGCTCTCTGGCTGAGAGAGCTATTTTCGGTCCACAACAAGGTGGCTGTCATTTGGAAGACACAGAGACTTTTTTCATTTGCAAGGCGCTCAGGAGGTAGCAGGGCAGTTTCTAGCAGCGTTTTTATCAAGGCAGGGTTTCAGCTCCCCCCTCCTCCACATTATTCACACAATGTAAGCAAATTTACAATGTGTTTTCAAAAAGATGTTTGAGTCAGAGCTAATTTCCGGTTGTGACTTATAAAGGAGACTTGTTGGGAGCCTGTCTTAATAAGGTGCTTAGTTAGGGTTAGTCCTTTTCTGCATCTTGAATGGTCAGAGTTGGAATGGCCTGTTTCACCTCTCTATTTGACTCAACGCCTTTATGTATCTGTATAAAGGCATTGATTTCTGAACACAAAAATATTCCCCCCATATCAAGGCTGTGTTTAATTGTAGTCCTTCTCATTTTCCATCATCTTACTAGTGTGCCATGGAGGAAGTGATATGGAGAAGGCTTTTGTGTGCTAAGATTTGTAACTTCTTCAGCACCCTGTGTTACCATGTGAGGGGAGTAATACAAGCGACACCCAGTTTCTGCTTTTTGAGATGAAGCAAACAGTTTTAATTGCAACATTATAATTTCAAGTAAAATTAAAAGATAGTGTCTGCTATCATGGCAAAGTATCTCAAAATCTAGTCGAATGTATCTGCAAATCTTAAAACTGTGTGAACTAATCTTTTCTGTAACTACTTTTGTCCTGTATAAACAAAGGCAATTCTTTAAAAAAAAATGCTTAGCAGATGAATACATAAAATACCCCTTGGAGTCTAACAGTGGGGTGTGGGCTGTTGTCACAGTGTTGCTTAACACAGTAAGAGCTTGCTCTCTCTGCTGGCTGCAATTTTCTATTTGGTTTTTGACTATGGAAAGAAGCCCAGTATCGAAATTTCAGTCACATGGATAGAAAGATTTGGTAGTAAGGTCAATACAAATTCCCTAGAAAAAGGAAACAACAACAAAATTCATTTAAGATGATGGGCATGTGACAAAAATTGACAGGATCATTTGCATGTCGGAAAAACATGAGACCAAAGATAGGTCGTGTTTTTGAAAGAACATTCTTTAAACACAAAGTTTCTTCTTAGAAAACTCCACATTTTAAGATCCAGAGATGTGCCACTGGGGGAAAAACAAAGACTGGGAATACATGCCTGCTGAGCAGTTGGGAGAACAGGATTCATTTCCTTTTATTTTTCCATTAAAGTCTTGCTTCTGATAAAATACTGATGTGAAGGGAACAATTGCTTTCTCTAGAAGATTGCTTTGGGGCAAAGAAATCTATAACCCTTTCTTCATTTCCAATGCAAGGAAATGGAACACCCGGCTCAGGGCCTTGGTGGAGATGGAATGCCAGCTGGGGAAGATGAGGCCAGCACATCGTTATTAGGCCTGGCCTAGGAGCTATAGCCTTTTTGTAGTCTTCTATCTGATTTCAAGGAATAGCTTGCTGTTCTAAAACTATGGCTAAGCCTTGGGAAGAAATAGGAATTATGTATCAGCAAAAGTTCTACCTGCATGTATCCCCTTGACTCATCACTTGCTTAAAGGAAGGTAATCCTGAGTTGTAGGTACCAAGAGCTAGAAAACATTAAATTTCATGTTTCTGCAAGCTGTGGTTTGCATGTGATCAGAGCCCTGCAAGACACTAAAAGAGCTCTCCATTTTGTGCTTTGGAATTGAGAATTCTCGCCATCGAAGCTAGAGAGTATACATGCATGCATGTGCATACACACACACACACACACACACACCTCTAAGCACAACCCTCATTCAAAAAATAGTGCAAAATCATAACCAATGGCTGTTCAGTTTCAAGACAGATATTTTTATATGTCAGATGGTTCTCTTATTTTGAAGCCAGAGGGTGGTGAAGAATAAATGTATATCATTAAAGAACCACTCAACAGGGAAGTCTAGGAAGATGGCTCAGTTGGTAAAGAGTTGTCTGCCTAAGCATGAAGATCTGAGTTTGAAACCCAAGCATCCATATGAAAAGTGAGGTGCTGTGTTGTGCACCTATAACCCCAGCACTGAGGAGGCATCTCTATGTACAATTCCAGTGAGAGACCATGCCTCAGAAGTTAAGGTGAAGAGTCACTGCGAAGAGACTCAACATTGATCTCTGTCCATAACATCAACAACATACACATGTGTGCAGGTACACACACACACACACACACACACACACACACGGACACATGAACTTTGATGAGACCTTTCTCCTAGTGAATCAATACTAGGATCACTAGAAACCTTGATCAC